TCAATAGAAGCATTTGAACATTCAGGTGAAGAATTAGCAGATTCATGCTCAATGCGTTTCAGACATGGTGGAATAAATTCTTCCTGAGCGGAACTGATCTATTGAGCAAGCAATGAATCGTTTTCCTTCTGAAGATCGTCATAACTCAGTTTTAACTTCTCAAGATCTTGCTTTCTTTGAAGAAAATCATAAGAAAGCTTCTCATGATCAAATAAGAGAGTGTTATGATGATTTTGAAGGTTGTCAAACTTAGACTGAAGTCTCTGAAGATTATCAGTCAAAGTCTTAGTTCGATTCAATTCCTCACCCAACAGGTCATCGCTTTTGTCTAGCAGATTTTGAATCTTTTCCAAAGCCTTTTGTTGTTTAACAGCAATTTTAGCTAGTTTGGAATAGCTTGGTTTGAGATTGTCATCAGATTCATCCTCACTACATTCAGAGGGGGGATGTTTGAGTACCTTGGCACCTATCACCATGAAGCAATAGGTGGGAGCATAGTCATCGACGCTCTTGTCAGCAGAGTTGGGGAGGTCATTTTCTTTAGTGTTGAAGATGGACTTCCTGACGTAAGCAGTAGCGAGGGCTAGGCTCACCACACCAGAGTCTGACTCCTCAGATTCCTCCTCTTCCACATTTTCCTCAGATTCGGCTTCAGAGTCCATTTCCTTGCCAATAAATGCCCGTGCCTTCTTTGAATTGCTATTCTTGTGAGATGAAGACTTTGAAGATTTTGATGATGAGGATTTTGAAGATTTCTTCTTCTTCTTTGAGTCATCAGAATCGTCATCTTTGTACTTCTTCTTCTTTGATTCCTTTTCCCACATAGGACAATCAGACATGTAGTGATCAGGTTTCTTGCATTTGTGGCAAGTTCTCTTTTTGTAGTCACGGGACGATGAATCATCACTCCTTGAAGACTTTCCAAAGCGACCACGGCGAGAGAACTTCTGAAATTTCTTCACGAGCATTGCTAGCTCCTTGCTCAGATCTTCAGGGTCACCAAGGCTGCTACTAGAATCTTCACCTTCAAATTCAGAGATTGCCTTGGCCTTCAGCACACGTGATCTTCCAAAGCTTGGTCCATAGAGGTCTCTCTTCTCAGCAAGCTGGAACTCATGAGTGTTTAGCCTCTCGAGAATATCAGCGGGATATAGAGACTTGTAATCATCTCGCTCTTGATTCATCAATGCAAGAGTATCGAATGAGGAATCAAGTGATCTCAGCAATTTCTTCACCACCTCATGGTCGGTGATGTCAGTGGCACCAAGTGCTTGAAGCTCATTTGAGATGTCAGTGAGGCGATCGAAGGATTGCTGAACATTTTCATTGTCGAGTCTTTTGAAGCAGTTGAAGAGATTGCGAAGAACATCAACTCGGGAGTAACATTGAGTAGAGACTCCTTCGTTGACCTTGGACAGCCTGTCCCAAATCAGCTTAGTAGTTTCCAAAGCACTCACTATGCCATACTGTCCTTTGCTCAGATGGCCACATATGATATTCTTCGCTTGAGAATCGAGTTGCTTGAATCTCTTCACATCAGCAGCATTCACATACGGAGTGACTGAGGGAACACCATTTTCCACAACATACCAGAGATCATTATCAATTGCCTCAAGATGCATGCCATCTTGTTCTTCTAGTAGGGTTAGTCCGTCCAATTGAAGGTAGGACACCTAGCTGAGACCTTGATCATTCCTGCAGTCGACATAACTAAAACTCCAGGTGGTTAAACCAAAATCACACAGAACAAGGGAGTACCTTGCTCTGATACCAATTGAAAGTGCGTTATATCGACTAGAGGAGGTGAATAGGCGATTTTTACAATTTCGTCAGAGGAATTTCTAGGTGAAGAAATTCCTAAGCAAACGACACACTAGCAACGGAATAAGTACTCAGGTATAAGCATAACAGAGCAACAACATAGTCATGATAATGAAATGAAAACAAGCACAGAGTACAGATAGCGTGATAACAGGATAAGCAGGCTGAAGACTATGTGACTGGAGAAATTGGATTGAGAAAATAGAGAAAGTCTTTAGTCAAAGTCTTCAAACAGTAATGATCAGGTTCATCAACACATGAATGAGGAAATGAAAGGGTTGAGGAAATAGAACTAGTTGGCTTGGTGAAGACAAAGATTTGGTAGACCAGTTCCAACTGATGTGACAGTTGTACGTCTAGTTGGAGCGGCTGAGTATTTAAACTCGAGGACACACAGTCCTCACCGTATTCTCCTTGAGCTAAAATCACACAGACCTCGCCCAACACTCATGGTAAGTCTTCACAGGTGACTTCCAAACCTTCACAGACTTAGTCACTCGGCAATCCACAATTCCTCTTGGATGCTCAGACCATGACGCCTAACTGTCTGGAGGATACATAGTCCTCAAAGGTAACAAGTGTCGGTTCCTCACAAGAACAATCTCTTCAACGATGCTCAATCACTTTGGGTTTGTAGGTGTTTGGGTTTGGGTTTTGGGTTTTTCCTCAGTTGATGATTTTCGCTCAAAGTCCTCGGAGGATGGGATGCTCTCAATGACAAGTGTCAGTTTCTCGCGGGGCAGCCAACCAGCTAGTGGTTGAGGGGGCGGCTATTTATAGCCTAGGGAGCAACCCGACATGATAAGACATAAATGCCCTTCAATGGTACGACCGTTAGATGGGAAGATATTTTTGGACAGTTGGCGTGTAGCACATCAATGGTCGGGTATTTGAGGTTCGAATTCCTCAGGGCTATCATGTTCCTCATTGTGTAGGCAATCCGCACTGGCGAATTCCTAACTCCTCAGTCAGAACAAATTCCCCAGAGACCAGAAGATCTTCGTCTCTGTCACTGAAGAAATTGACTGAACTGATATGAGATTACCAATGGCTTCACTCGAATGGATTGGGTAGGTGTAGGATTTTGAGATGAGCATCACATGGAAATCAGTTTCCTTAGTATTACCTTGACCCCCTTTAACGATACGGTGTTCCCTATGACTCAAGAAAGAGAAAATGAAACTACGAAAACAAAAGTCTTCATGCTTCTTAATCCTCGTATGAATATCCAAGTCTTCAAGGTCACACCGATTTCTTCACTTTCAAAATCTTCAGGAGAACCAAAGTCTTCAGCTGAAGACATACATTTTTAGGGGTCGACTTTCATCGTAAATATCAAACTCCTCATCGACTTATAGAGCCTGTGTACACTCACAAACATATTAGTCCCTTAACCTATAAGTCTTCAATACACCAAAATCACTAAGGGGCACTAGATGCACTTACAGAACCCAACATAGGTTTTCCTCCAATACTTGAGCCGGGAAAGCTTGGTCAATGCTATGACAATGCCTCCAAAGAGGAGCGCGGGCGTCACCATTGTCAAGCATGGATTTGCCGGCGGCCATGACCATCAACTCCCCAAGGACCGACAAAGGAAGGGTACAACAGAGGTGAGGGAGCATGTCGCCGGCTAGGATTACCGCCGCCGAGAAAAATTGCATCTTATCTCCGACCGACAAACGTCGGCTCCACCGACCCCAAAGAAGGCTCCCGACGCCGACCGCGAGCATCCCACCACATGCTATGCCCCCATCGCTGCCCAACCCATGCAACCGCCCAACATGCCAGAAACAGCACCAACGTAGGGGAGAGTTGAGATGATGCCACTAACTCTAGACCTAGAGAGAGCGCTTCCAGTGAAATGATTGGCACATAGCTTCATGTCTTACAATTCAAAGCGCAAGATGGTTAGATGGGCAAAGAATTCAGGAGATTGCGCCGCGTGTATATGACCTAGTTCCACCTTGAACTCGCAAGATGAGATTGGTCAGTACAGCCATGGAGAACGGGTCTTGGGCGATGGACTTCAACCCCAACTTTGGGTCGGACACCTTGCGTGAATTTCTATCACTTTGGCAGGCGGTTAATGCTTGGGATCCATCTAATGATGAGCCGGATGAGATAACATGGTCGTGGGAGGCAAATGGGCGATTCTCAGTGAGCTCTGCGTATGCGGCTAGATTTTAGGGACGGGAGGTAATCCCAATGGCAGACCTAACATGGAAGTCGCGTGCTCCTATGCAATGCAGATTCTTCACCTAGTTGGCCATGAAAGACAGATGTTGGACCTCGGATCGTCTTGCGAGAAGAGGTCTACCTCATCAGGCCACATGCCCTTTTTTTATAAGAGGAAGAAATGATCAACCATATAATGCTCATGTGTGTGTTTGCTTGGACAATTTGGGCAGCAATTTGTGTTGCGTTGGGTACACCGGATTGGATCCCCTCTCCCCAAGACTCACTGGTGGAGTGGGCCATAGACAAGCAAGGATCGAACAGTGTGAGCATAAAGGATCTACAAAGCATTTTTGCGCTTACTTGGTGGGGGTTGTGGAAACATAGAAATGCCATTGTCTTTGAGGGAGCGCGGCTTTCCATCGAGCAGTTGCTAAAAAAGTGTGTTATGAGGGTTTGGTTTGGTCCTCCACTGGACTTTTGAAAGGGAACGTAACGCCCTTCTTTAGTAGGATAGAGAGGTGGGTCAGTGGTGAGGGTTAGCATGTACTGATAACCCTGTAAACTATGATGGAGGCACTCTTTGCCTTTCTTTTTTAATAGTATATGATATGCACACTCATGCATATTCGAGAAAAAAAAAACAATTCAAAGCGCACAAATCTATCTTCAACTCGTGCTTCCACAAATCTTTGCCTCAAGCCGTGTGCTGGGAAGTATAAAGTGCAGTTGGGTCTTCGGAGGGAGGCAGCCAAAGCCGGAACTCACCACGTGCGGATGTGGCAGTTGGCAGGTGTACATACATACAGCTTAAAATATACACAAACCACGCACACATTCACAAAATATACTCAGACCCAACAATTTTTTCCTTTGCAGCCGTCACCATTCTGACTTAACTAGAGGTGGCGCCGCCGCTGCCGATCAACAAACACAAGCAGTGTCCGATCTGATCTGACCCGGTCCAGTTTATGTACTGCGCAGAGGCCAGCCAGGCCGTCTCAATGGTGCCTGCCGTGCCGCGGCCGCGAGCTCCCCGCGGCCGCTGCGTGGTTATTACGGGAGCGCTCGTGCCGCGCGTGGGACACCAGCATGTCCGACTGCGCCAGCCTCCTGCTGAACTCGCTGCCGGCAGAGCGCTGGCCATGGCTATCTCCCTGTAAGGGAAAAAACATTTGGTGATCAGAAAACCAAGTGCAAAGTTCTGGAGGCATGTTCGAACTTGGAAGGTAACGGTGCCCACCATTCTGACTCGGTTTGAGCCTTCTAGCAGCTCGATCGTCTCGTCCATCTCCATCATCCTCTGCTGGAGGCTGTCTTTCTCCATCTACAGCATGAACACCAAAGTTCAGGGTTGGGTAGAACAGTACTAGTATGTTTCGGAAGTTCGATCGATCAAAGTAGTTATCTGAACCTGTAGCATTTCGTTCTGGGCCTCGAGCATCTGCTCCCGCTGCTCCAGCTGTTCGACAAGCAGCTGGGTCTCCAGCAGGTCCGCCTTCCTTTGGTCCATGTCATCAAGCAAGCTTTATAGCACAGAAAAGTATCAGATATCAGGTCATTTGTGGCATGCAGGGTTGCAACTGAAGATAAAAGCATGAACAGTTAAGAGTCGTCACCTGTCTCTTTCTTGAATGAGATGGCCGAATTGCTCTTTGAGGACGTCAAGTTCCTCGTCCTTGATTAACAATGCAGATGAAGGTAGACAGAAATTTTCAGCTTGCTATATAATGGGACAATGTAAACAGACATTTGCTAGTGGAGCTGTGACCTACCTTCGCCTTCGATTGTTCGATTTGTTCCTGGGATGCTACTAACAGCTTGTGCACTTCTTCTTGGTCAAGCAAATTCTAAACATGGCAACAGCAAATCTCATGTAAGTGACCTGGTTGGTAGACAATGAGCCCTAATGCTGATTAGCTCCATAGAGGTGCTGCCGCAACTTACAGCATAGTTTGTCATGTCTAATTTGACGCCAAGTAGCTCCCTTATAACATCATGTGTCATGCTATCCACGGCTGCCAGTCTTGACGTAAGCAAGCATATCTATGAACAGAGGAGAAAATATGAGCATCACCTTTGAGGCACTTCATTCTACACTGGATATTGGATTCATATTATTTATAGTTAGAAAATTAGAAATGAACAGATAGAACACAGCTGTGTTTTCATTGTCTCCCAGTGAATGTGGGACACATTCTAGAATTAATCTAAAATGCTCTATACATATTTCATTCAAGTACATGCTTGTGTTTATGACAATAACCATGGTCTCAACAACTAGCCAGGAGATCTCTTAACCTGTAAGTGTATTTGACCATATTGTAATCTAAGGACATATGTGGTATTGGGAGACAATATTCTCTAATTAGCAGAAGCTGTACTTTTGTGAAGTCCAAAAACCGCAACAACATACATGTTGACCATTGCCCATTAATTTGCCTAAACTACGATGAAAAGACGATCAAAAAGTATGACCTGTTTCTGTTTGTCACTAAGCAACGCTTCAAGTTCTTCAATTCGCTGGCGGCCCAAAGAGATTTCTTGATCCTTCTCAGAGTTCATTTGTTGAACAATGCTAGATATGCACCTAAAAGGTGAACCAGATCCTCTTGTTCGCCCTGAAGGCTTTTCCACTTTTGTATGGACAGACTCAGAATTAGATTCATGTGAACCAAAGTTCTGTTTAGAAACCATGTGCTCCATTTCCTGATACTGTACGACAAGAATTATTAGCATATGTGTAGTGTTAGATACTTGTATAACCATGTTGGCAAATATATAACAGCTGAAGGTCTTCTACCTTCTCCTGAAACAGCAATGATTGTGCTTCTGAATGCAGGACCAGCTCAGCTATATGCTCTTTGCACTGCCTTATCTATGTACATGAAAAGGACATAGTATGAGATTATTCTAGTAAATGAAACTAAGTTAAGATTATTTGGAAACACAAAACTCCATGAATCGGGTATGATTGCTCCTGCATATACCTCCTCATCTTTACGTTTTGCTTCCATTACGAGTCCTTCAACCTTCCTTCTAGTATCTTGATGTGCAATAATCTCAGCTCGCAATCTCCTATCATAAAAATGCATTTGATTAAAATGATTATACAATTACATCTGGTTAGGTCTTTTAAGAAAAATCAGATGAATAAATTCTCACTTTTTTAGTTGGCATCTCCCTGGACACAGTTCCACATTGTCATCACATTTTGAGGCATTTTCTACAGTAAGCATCTCTTCAATTGCTTGAAATTCAGCTTCGGAATGTTTGTGCGCTTGGTAGCTCCTTACTTCCTCTTTAAGGTTGCGTACCTTCAGTAAAATCAGATATGTGATGAAACTCACCATTCGCATTAAAGCCCCATTATTCACTAATTTGCTTAATTTTGCACCAACCCTTACAAGATTACACCCTAAATGGCTCAATGTTTATCTATCATTGCAAATGAAATTTTTGGATGTATAATATTACTTAGCCATCTATCTTCTGAAAATTACTGTTGTTCCATAATCTTCGGAGCAATCATGTGTAAAATATTACATTTCTTATGCCAAATCTCAAAGAAAAATCTATCAAAACAGTGAGCACCACAAATCAGAGAAATGCGCAGCTTACCTCTTCCTCAAGAACAGTTATTGTAGATTCAAGTTCTCCAACAGAATGTTCAAGAATTGTAACCTCCTCATCTTTCTCTTCCGCGTAGATTTTACTTATCTCTGCAGCCTACAAAAGCAGGGCAAGTGAAACTTCATACAAATTGGTGGAAAGCAAAGGGCGCTAGTAACACAACACTTACTTGCCGAGCTTCAATAGCAGCAGCTTCATTCTCCTCAGCTAAAGCCATTGACATCTCAAGCTTGTCATTTAACTTGAGTATCTCTGCTTTGAGCTTTCCATTTTCATTACATAACATTTTGATATTATTACTTAGTTCTTCAATATCTGACCTAAGACGTCCCTCTTCAGAAGAATTAAGCAATATAATTTCACTCTCCAATCCCTCTATGACCTTAGCTTTGTCTTCCAACAGAGCTTCTATTTCACCGGTCTTCACAGTTTCCTCTTCCAGCATCACTCTCAGATCATTGTTCTCCTTCGATAGCGCAGATGATGAAACTTGAGATTGCTCTAACTCTGATCTTAAAATAATGAGTGCAGCACCATTTTCAGCCAGTTCTTCCACTAGTGTCTTCTGTTTTGCCAACATGTCTTCTGTCTCAGAATTTTTAATCTCAAGTTCTCGTTGAACCTTTCTAAGGGCATTCGACACTTCATCAGCTTTATCTTTCATGTCCTTCGCATATGAGGTAGACTCTTGCAATAATTTTAAGTCAAAAGACAATCCTTCAGCGATATCACTTTTCCTGTCAAAGTCTCTTCTTAGTGATGCGTACTCTGTACTGTGGCCAGCCTGAGAATCACCATTCCATAAGCATATTTTCTGACGTGTCAAAGCTTTCTTCTCAATACTACTAATGTCATTAAGGAGTCTGCTAAGCAAAGGTGCATTCTGAGAACCTTCTTGATCAGATAGTAACAGATAACCAAAAAAATCTATAGCAAAAATCAAATTATCTTGCACCTTATTCAGAACAGTAACAAACTGCTTCTCATTTTCTGTTCCATCCCCCATAATGTCTTCTTTATTGATAAATTTAGACAGTGGAATCATTAACTGCGCCAAATGATGCTTGAGACACTGAACATCATTCAAAAGAGCAGTATTGTCTTCCTCTCCTGAGTGATCAAATATGCTTTCCTTGCATTGCTGTGGAACAGCTGAGTGTATTTGTTCACTATCTAATCTTGCAAGTGCAGCAAGAGGGTTTGCATAACTTTGTTCATCGCAAGCAACACCTGGATATGTCTCTGCATTCTTAATGCAGGACACTTTGTTGACCAAAATATCCCACTTTTGAGCAATACTGAAAATTATGTCCTTAATAACAGCCATATCATATGCACTGTCTGCATCAAAAACTTCCAGTTCAGCAGCACTGCCCATTGGAACTACATGTATGGATGACGTGTCCTTTCCTTCATCCACCATATCTGTTATAGATATAATATGCTTCCTAGAGTTGTCAGGAATTGCTTGAGTTTCATGAAGAAACATAGTATTGCTGCCACCCAGGTCACATGAATCAACTTGTTGACACATGCATGTATAAGGATTCACATTAGGGTGATGGAGCTGCTGAACTGAAGAACTGCCTTTTTCTTTTAGAAGTGATTCAATGTTTACCAGATAAGATCTTGAATCACTTATCCACCTCTTTAAGTCCTGCCCAATATCAATAATTTCCGAGCAAAGTTCAAAGAGTTCAATTGTAGCAATCCTTTGCAAATGGTGAAAAGATCCCTTCATTAGAGTAGCAATGTTTGTCATCTCGTTGGTACATTCATTCATCTGCTGATTTAATTTGCTGTAACTCTGTGCTGTACAAAAACTTGACGCTTCAACCTCCTGCAACTCATTGACCAGAGAACTTTTCTCCGCCAATAAAGATTCTACTGCTTGGCTGCAATTATCTCTGCCAAGCTTTAACTCCTCATTGGCCTTCAACAAAGCCGAGAGCATAAGGTCGGCCTCTTTCATGGTTTCTTGAGCATCCTCGAAATTTGAAAATAAGGCCAAAACCTTATTTGACTTATCCTCGACGAGACATAATACATCGTCGAGCTTTGACTACAAGGTATTGGAAAAAAATCGTATTATCAGTCATATTGTTTATAACCCAGAAGAAACTCGTTAACAAGAAAAGCATGGAGAATGCCATGACATATCCATGGTATGCATATAAAATTTCTTGTATCTGGACTGATTCCAGAGGTTATGTTCCATGTAATATTCATTTTGTATCTTGATAGCTGATAAGGATGATAATCAACTTCTACTGATTTAGAAATGTCTGAACAAATTGCACAGATTTCTGTGTGGGGCATTTGATCTCATGGGATGATCACAAAACCAAATGTGAGATATGATGAGTGTATCTGATTAGAATAATTAAACTTTGATACAACACATCTCCATGAAGCACAATCATTACCCTGTACATGATCATAAGATAATTTCCTGAATTTTTTTTATTCAAATATATTTCAGTGTAGATCTAGAATTCTACTCCCTCCGTCCCATAATCTAAGGCCTTTTTTGGCACTAGTGTAGTGTCAAAAAACGTGTCTTACATTATGGGACAGAGGGAGTGTATATTTAAGAAACAACGTTTGCGACTTAGTAGGTAAATAAAGGAAAACATCAGTAGCGGTGCAGAAGCTCCCTGCTAAACATCAGTTTTGCTATTCGCAAGTCAAAATATGCAAAATAGAGTAATTGACTGTCCAGGTAATGTGTACTTCGCAAATAGTTACAGTAAAGGCGGTCATGAGAACAGGTAAGTTCGACAATGGACTCAGTAAGTTTTATGATGAGCAACTAACATTGAAATTTTAAAGTACAGTCTTGCTTATTTGGAATCAAATGATATACTGGTCCTTCATATTCTTGACGGAAAAAGTACAGTCTTGCCTACTTGATTTCACTAATGAGGAAAATCCTGGTGAGTTATCTCCTGTTTTAGCTACAATATGAAGCTGTCTACACAAATAGTATCATGGACTATCTTCACTTCATATCAGGTGCATTCATCCGTACAGTGTATGTAACTACAGTAAAGACTGCATACCTGGTAGTCTGGATTAGCTTTATTAACTGCTGATCCATCTTCACTATGAGTCCGCTGTGCACTCATGTCATTCAAGCTGTCAAGGAATAGAGGTTCATCACGAGAATGCTCTACTGCTTCTGACAAGTCACAATTTTTCCTTTCCACATTGCAATCCTTTTGGTTTACTCGTCTTTGTGCTTCCTGAGAACTTTCATCATTATATAATTGCTGAGCTTCAGTGATAGCAAGTGTTGCACCTCTTAAGATGTGCAACTTTTCTTTCACTTCCCTGCCCATTCGCTGTGCATCTTCTAGCTCAATTTGAAGCCTGAAGATTATTTTTTCCTTTTCAATGCTAACTTTCATAGCCTTCTCCACATGTTCGCTGACAGAATTATTGCTGTAAGGAAATGAACTAATCATATTATCAATATTCTGATATGCATCGTCTAGTGATCTGCAGCCATCTGTCAAGAAGCTTGTTAGATCAACTATTGCAACCTCCCATTCCTCAGATAAAGAGGCAATTTCTACATCTTTGGCCACAATGATCTCTGCAAGCCTGGTACTTTCTTCAGCCATAATAACTAGCTTCTCTTTGAGCTCTTGATTTATGCTTTTAATGTGCGCCAACTCGGCCTGTAACGTCTGTTTGCTTGAGCCCATTATTTCAGTCTCTTGATGACATAATGAAGTCTCACCATGCAAACATATACCCATATTTGGTACGTTTTCATGTATTTGATCCATCTCATCCTGCTGTAATTGCAATGTCTCTTCATCTTCTACGTGTCCACTAAGAATAGTGTCTTTGTCAAGTACATTATGTGAAGATCCAACAGCCAAGGTGTAGCACTGAGACACTTCATCACTACACTCTGGCACTTTTGTAGAATCATTCAAATCACATCTTTCTGAATCGAAGTGATACAAATGAGAACAGGATTCCTGGTGTCCACTAGCAATTTCTGAAGGAAGGTTGAGTTGAACTGATTCCGTAATATTAGTTGTCATTCCAGCACCATTGGGCGTTAAACATGAAAAGTTCCATCCCACTGGATCCTGATATAAAGTTCAAACAAGAAAATAACAGAAAATAGTTAAAGTGAATATCTAGTTACTGGGTATAAATCAAAAGTGTGCAAAAAATCTCACGGGTTGCATCTGACTGATCTCTGGAATCCCACAATTCTTCTCTGCCGTTGGAGCAACCTGAATGGTGATGTGCATCCAAACACTGTATGTAATTCTGGACACAACAAATAGCATAAAGAATTGCTGGTGGCTACAAAAATTGCAGACGTACTTGGTGCGTGCTAGACATCTGGTATTGTTTCAGTTCACAGCGCAGCTTATTTACTTCACTGCAAACAGCATGAATAATCATAACCATCAATTACCAAGATACCCAAAGCAAGCAGACATAACGTGAGTAACAATAAGTATCAAAAGCCAATCCTGATAATTATGAAGTATACATAGATGAAGGAAAAAAACAATCAGACCCAGGGTAATTAATGACACTGCCAATTGAATACATCGGGATTTCATTACAGATGGAGGCGAGGAAAAGTTTCACATAAAGTTACTTTAACGAAATTTACCACTGTGCACTTTCTAGATTTCACAGAAATGTGAGAATGTGAAAATATGCAGCTCCATTCACTTTCTCACCATGGAAGAGTTAAATCATTATCGTCTTCTAGAACTCAAATGTCTTTACTCAGTCAAGAGTATCATACAATGCATGTTTTGCGAAGAAAGTGTTCCTAGCACATCATTGTTATTGTAAATGTAAATATGCATTGAGATAATAAGATTTAGTTGAAAACTTACCGTGCAAGCAAAACATTATTTTCTAAGCATGCATCCAGCTCCTTCCTGCAATTGTCTAGATCCTTGACAATCTCGTCACCCTAAATGCATTGCATCGCACATCAACCACTTGCAAAAATTCAGGTTATTCTTCAGTATTACATTTGGGACATGTGGTTAATCAAGTTTAACTTCCCTTATATTAGATAAGATGTGACAATATTGTTTACTGTTAATTTAGTCTAAGGTTTTGACCGTCTCCTGAAACAGAAGAAAAATAACCATAGCCATGTGGTAAGTACTTTCGGAAGTAAAATTATATCAAGTGAGAACACACCTGTGCTTCTAAATTCCTAGGAGGTGCTGCATACTTCTGCTCAAGAATATGAAGGAACTACACATATAACAAAGATAAGAGTGTGTCACTGGAGAAAATGAGATCGAGCAAAAGGGAGTTCAGGGAGAACAAGCATACATGATTACGCAAAAGAGATATCTCCGTTAATAACATCTCTCTTTCCCCTTGCTTGTGGAAGTTCTGAAGCCTATATATGAGTACATCAGAATAAGCTATCACCAATTTATTCATGTAAGCGAAATAGACGGTGTGCAAATTTGTCCGGGCTCAAAGTAAATTGAAACTTACGTTCTAACTTGCTCGATTAATCTCTTGTTTTCAAAAGCAAACTGAGTCAGTTGAGGATTTTCGTCGAATTGTTTTTGCAGTAGCTGAATCTCTTGGGACATTGCAGCATTTTCTTCAACCATATAGCCATCCGATGGCACTAGATCATCAGCTAACATATGCAATCTTTTTAATTTTTCGTCACGAAGTTTCAGCATCATTCTCAAGCGTTGGGAATCAGATTCCTTCAGGTCAACCTTCCAAAACAGAAAGCTGGTGCCGCTCAGTATTTTAAAACACAAATAGTTGCTATAATAAGAAATTATTAGGTTCTGTGTTTTGAAGGATATAAAATATCCTAGAACTATCTGCAATAGAATTACCAGACGATTCAAATGCTTTATTTCAGCTTCCAGCTTCCTGATATCCACCTCAGCTAGTTTCTCTCTCCTAAGGCTCCCAACAAGAACATCTTCCAGATGGATAACCTGATATTAGATATATATGTATAAATAATTGGCTGCAACTTGCAAGTAATTTATAGTGCACCATTATGTATTTTCCAATGAAGTAAATCATGCTATATGACCTTTTGCTTTAGAAGACTCAGGTCACAGCTTGATTGATGATCTTCAGCTAAAGTATTGTATTCTCTATCAGAGCCTGAATTTAGCAGGAGAAAGCTAGGCGATCCAGGGGCATTTTGCTGCTTCCTCAAGCATGTCAATTGATCCTGGTAAACATAATTAAATAACTTAACTAGAAAGCACTTCTATAATCAAGAAGAGAGTTGTCATGATAAAGCTTACCTTTAATTCTTCTATCTGCCTTTGTAAAGCCATAACATCACCTGAAGCATCTTCATTTACTTTTGCCTAGCACAACAGAAGAATCCCCAAATGAGTCGACACGATAAACTTTGTATATAAAAATTTCAACATGCTTAGAATTACATTGTTTTGAATCAACTTCGCGCGCTGAGCAAACTTCAAGGTACTCAGTGTCTCATTGGAGGAACTGCAATAGTGTAATTCATTTACGTGTTAAGCATACTGTTAGGATCTAGAAAACAAACCGAATACAAGAATAAAGGTGCACAATATCGGTACCAAATAGACGGGCTGATGTTGGCAACAATTGTTGTTTTAGAGTTTCCTCCAAGGGAATCCTAGAGAAGATGATACAATGAGCCAGAGAAGACAATGGACATAAACAGAAAGAAGACTCAAACTCATTGTGAATTTGAACCTGGAGGAGAAATGTAAGCCTTGAGTCTCTATAAGGCACATGGCGGCTTTTTCCATTTGCGACATCCACTAGAGTCATGATAACAAGCCTGAAATGGTATAGCTGGATTATCACTATGAACAGTACTTCTTCAAAGAAATTGTCAATTTGATACTCAAATACATTCTATGCTAATATAACAAAGAACCTTGTAATGAATGCTAGAAGACATTATGAACTTCCGCAAATGTTTCATTTAAAAAAAGGGATACCACCACCAAACTATAACATTTTCACAACTGAATACAAAATGTGTAACACAAATGTGGTTATTTTCATATGTTGCAAGACAAAATATGAATATGAACTGTGTCAAAATTCATGAATCTTGTCTGAGAGCAATAGGTACCCAAGAGTTGACAAGGATCTGTTAATGTTCGCAGCTTCTTTCAAGCGGTCTCCTTCAGCGCCCGAGCTTTTCTGCCTAGTTTGAATTCAGTTAGTATTTGTGAAGGCAAGAAAAGGTTGTCAACTTGTCACCTTTATTCTGGAACTCACCTCTCAGAACCAGCAAGATCAACCAAATTCAAACGCCCAAAGCGGAGGTGCGTCATTGAATCCCTTTCCCAGTGACTCTCAATGACGCAAGTGAAGACGCTATGTGAACGGCTGCTCTCACTATTCATATTTGTAGCTGCCATTTTCCTATTTGCAACCCCCTAAAAGAAAATTGCAAAAAAAAAACATTAATGTAAGTTAGCACATGCTCGTTTTAGAACCTCAGATCCAATGCAACATGGAATGAACAGACAGTATTCTTTCACCTGTAATAATAACAACATAACATCTTTAACAGATGACACATAACACTCCATTAGGTTCTCAACATATACACCTTTCTTTATATCTTCACGGATCTACAAAAGACAGAACAAATGTAAGATATCACATTCTGTTCATGCATTATCAATTCTCAAGTACTACCTCTGTAAACTACCTGAAGATTAGTTGATGATGGTTCAAGTAGATCAGTTATCTGCTCATTGTATATCTCCAGAAAAGAGCATTTGCAGATGTACTTCAATTTGTCCTCTCTTCGCCTTTCCTCTTCCTTCACATAATATATGATTTAGGTCTGTCTATTAGCAAGCATTCACCAAAGTACTAGCCTGGCATAAAAACACCTCACCTCCTTTATCCGAGCGAATAGATACTCGAAAATACGAGGCGTCAAACCAGAATCATTGCTAAGTTCATTGCCATCCTTACTAAGCTCTCCCATCATTGTGTAAGTTTTGCCACTCCCTGTCTGTAAAAATCATATGTAGCACTATATGTCAGATGAATTCTTCTGCAGGATAAAAAATGTGCATATTAGTGTTACCTGGCCATAGGCAAACAAACAGCCGTTGTATCCAGACATGCAGTTCTCCACCATTGGTAGACCAACTACCCTAAACAGCTTTTCCTGAAATCGTTGTAGAGAATATTTCTTAGGCTAAAGGATGACTTACTTGGAAAGAAATCTAAGTTAGTTGCAATACACAAGACATGCCTGTGATATTGTTTCACATGCGACATGATCAAACGTGAACATCGTTTCAGGGTGTCCTGTCCAGCTCAATGTCTTTGAGCTATCCTGTATCAAACATCTTTTTTGACCATACGCGGTGCTCTCGGCGGCACTGATTGGCCTTAATCGTACCAAAACCTGTAAATCACACCAACATTTAGATTTCTCAAAGAAACGGCACCATCATTTAGCCCCATTAGCTTCAGAACAACGGCACCTTACACATACGAAAAATAAAATCAGCAATGGTATTAACAATTAAATCACAATTGGTACTGTAAACATGATGGTGGATAACATTACACGATTTGGTCATTTCGACGACACGCAATAAGGAAATACTTAGGTAATCATATAATCCATTTTTTTTGTGATGTTTGCTAATTTATTAATTGGACACGGGATGTTCATGTACGTATGTATCATTGGCTCACTGCAGCATTTCACTTTGTGCAACCCTTTAATTTACAGAAACACCAACCTGTACATTGCGGTCCATCCAGAAGGCGGGGTCCTCATCGAGCTCAAAATGAGGCACCTCCACGGGCACCTCCGTGCCCGCCAGATCCCTCAGATCAAACACCCTCTTCGCGGCCCCGCCAATCGAGGAGCTCCGATCCCTGGCCCCAGACGCCGCCGCGCAGGCCCTGGGGGTGCCCGCCAGCGACTTGGGCGTCCCCGGCGCGGACCGCGGGTTCCTGCCCGGGTCAGCGATGGCCGCGAGGGGCGACCGCGGGGGCAGCGAGAAGGGCGGGCCGGCCGCGGAGGGGGAGGACGAGGAGGGCGCGGCCGCGAGGTCGTCGTTCTCGTTGGGCTCCGGCGCGGCGCGGCGGGAGGCGCGGGTCGTGGACGCGCGCCGGCTGCCGCCGCCGCCGCCGCCGCCTGTGGCGGACATGGCGGGGGAGGGTGCGGGTGGAGCGGGAGGTGGAGTGAGGTGGCGTGGAGCTCAGCTCGGGTGGAGGGGAGTGAGGGGGGAGCGGGGTGGTAGCGGAGACTAGTAATGGCCAACGGGGTCTGCCCTGCTGTTGGGGGTTCTCCGCTCGATTTCAAATTTTGAACTGGGTTTGCGTTGCGAGGAGGCCAGGGGTGGATGGATCTGAGTATCTGACTGAGCAACTGATGAGTCATCATTTGACTGATGGGCCTTTCGGCGGCTCCTGTCATTAAATTAAGAACTGATCAATAATTAGGAAAGTAGTTTTCCCTTCCCTCAAAAAAAAGGAAAGTACTAGTTTTCCTTGTGTAGGCTACGGGAGCACCTAAGCTCATTTGCTCCATGAGTTCCCCAGCCGTTGGATCTGAGATCCAAATGCCACATAACAGTGAATACAACTTGAGGAGTCTGATAATTACATCCAGATCGAGTGTATCCTCGTATGCCCTTTGGATCTCAGCACTTGAGGTTAGGTGCTCCTGTAGCACCAAATATTTTCCTGTGTAGACTTTGTGATTAAAACTTAAAATTCAAGACAAACAATTACTCAATTAGCTTTCAAGTTCCAACAGTTACATCCCTGTTTGCTTTAAAGTCAGGCACCTTTTGCAACAAATGAATTTTACAGGAATTTCAAAGAAATGGTATCTTATAGGAAAATCTTCCTATGTGCCCTTTGATAGAATCAAATTTGCTAAAGTGCATTTGGATGAGAATTAATTTAGCACATCTAACTCCCTAACCGCACGATTTAAAGCTCCAAGATTCACCTTTTCGCGAGCGGCTCAGTCTGTCGTTGTCTATCCACGTCTGCAACTTTCACACAGATGTATATTTTTGTTGGGATGACCAAAGTTTTCCATCATTTTGTCGTGTACTTTAGCACCACTACCTCACCTTTGTATGTTTCTACTCTACTGCTTCGGACCACGAGTCTAATACCTTTGGATGTGTTCACGATGACCTGTTGCGTCAATTGGTGCAGAGACCAACTGCAGCCTGCAAGTTAAACGAATTATATGAAACATAAAACGGAAGTCAATAGAACTATTTGAAGATATCAACTAACCAACTACGACTAGAAGTTAAATGAACTATTTGAAACATAAAATGTAAGTTAAGTCTAACTGTGTGAAGAGACCAACTACAGTCATGAACGCAAAGACCAATTGTGGCCAAGAAGAGAAACAACTAATATAACGAATTTTCTTGTTAACTATTTCAAGAATGTTTACCGTGAATGGACCGCAAGCCTTCCAACTGGGTTGGGGACCATAAAACTCAAACTTCATCTATTCCGGGTACGCACATTTGGTTTGTTGGTCAGTTGTTGTGTCTGGTTATGCCGGGCACATCCATGTGATGACCGTGGGGTCAGATATTCATGGATCTCACTCGGCTATCCCTCTTAGAGGATGGCTGGTAATGGTCCCGGTGCGTAGCCCGTGCCCTGCACACACGATATTGGTTTGCTGGTCTGCCATTGTGTTTGGTGCATTAGATATTCTGATCTGATGGTCTAGCCAGACGGGATGCTTTGGAATGTCTTTCTGGACTTTCAAAACTAACTTTGTGAAGTCATCAATACAAATGAGACAGAGATGAAATCTGCCTCGCGTCCATGAACTTCCTAGTTACCCAGAAATTTATATCATTTTACATATTATCATACCACTTCTTTTGGACGATGCGGTCTGTCCAGATAGAGTGATTTGGCCCGTCTGCTCGACCTTTGTGCATGCCCGAATAGTGTAGTTTGGAATTTCTTCCAAGCCTTTGGACTCTGCGGTTGGATGTTCTTGTTAATCAGGCTCTCCCCTGGTCTGTGTGCTTTTGGTTGGGGTGCACGATTGCGATGGTTCGGGTCATTAGTCGATTTGTTTGTTGTCATTACAGTTGATTTGTTTGCTTGTCGGGTAAATTCCATGATCACAGTCGGCACATGGTTTGCTTTGTTGTGCAAGGCACCCCCGAAGAATGTTTGTATGGGGTCGCAGAGATCCTGAAGAATGTCTTGTGCAGCCTTTGCCATAAAACACACGTGTTCTCTGATCGTACCCTTGATGCATTCTAAAAAGGCGAACAACTTTCCAAGGCGTACCATTCGGCAATGCCGACTAAACACATGTTGGTGTCCGAAAACATGATTGAATCCACAGCACACGAATACAACATCCTCACTCGACTCATGCAAGACAGGCATCCCAAACTCGAAATATGGCAAGAGAGGCCGGCCAAACACGCAAAAGGTACGCCACGTTTCGGCCGACTATCGTTATCGATATGTGTTTGTGCCGCAGTTGGTCTCCATGAACTACCATACCACTTTCCCCGAAAATTTATATCATTTTGCATATTATCATAACACTTTTACATATTTAGTTTTGACTGCATATTTTTGAAGTAATAATACATATACATAATCATATACAGCTACTCGAATTACCAACAAATGATAATACATATCAGTTGGTCGCTAAAAATATGCCACTTATCATACCACTTTACATAGACATAATGATCGGCTAAGGATTTACCAGGTTGGTCAACTATGAACTTGACCAATCGCAACCTGGAAATTATGACTTGATCAATTTATATGACCCGTTGCGCAAATCAATGGTGAGATCAACTACAGCGCGAAAGCTAAGCAAGCTATTTGAAGGATTATTTCCTCAACTGTTTGCAAATGATTATGTTTGTACTGCATTTGCCTGGACAACCATTTATATAAACACAATGTGAACCTTGGACTTCTTTTGCTGGTAACTACAATGCGGAAGCTAAGCGGACTATTTGAAGGATTATTTCCCCAACTGTTTGCAAACGATTATGTTCATATTGCGTTTCTATTTGCCTCGACAAACATTGATAGAAAAAGCAATGTGAATGTTGAGCTTTCTTTCTTTCTTGTGTTCTATTAGGCGGGGGCCTGGCGGACTGAGTTGTGACTTCTCTCTATCAGGGAAGCAAAGCACTACTGCAGGATGCTGCTAACGCGACACTGCGATCAGAGACCCTTTGACGAAACTGTGTGCGATGCATTAATCGCAAATGGTGATGTAAAAAACCCATCAAAAAAGATGCAAAACGTTTGCGATGAATGATACATCAAACAAGGTTCAGATTTTAGTTGTGTGTGCGATGCGGGGCATACGGTTGATCCGTACGAACTGTCAACAATAGAAATGGGCAGCCAAATCAAGTTGTGTGTGATATACAACACACAATTTGCTCCGATGAACCGTTTGCAATGATTGAGGTGAACACAAATGTTCGGCGTAACAAGATGTGTGTGATACCCAGCAAACAAGTCGGTAATCAGAATTGTGTGCGATCATTATAGACAGCCCATACGATCTTTTTTTGTGAATTGTGTGCTCTTCAGGGCACACAGTTCAACAAACCAACCTATGGACGATAATATAGAAGATCTCTGTCAAATACATATTACTAACCGTCTGCGATGATATTGACAGGATAAACAGAGATAACAAATTAGTATGAGCGAACAGAAACAGAGATATATACAATCTGCTTAACTTAGTCATTCTTCTTCTTCTTCTTCTTCTTCTTCTTCTTCTTCTTCTTCTTCTTGTTGAATGGCCCCGCGACATCGTCTTGGCGAGGACGCTTCTTGCCGCTGACCGTTGGCTTTTCATCACCATCGTCATCATCATCGTCGTTGCTGTCGCCGTCCTCCTCCTCCTCGTTCGACCATTCCTCCTCATCATCGTCATTGTCCTCTTCTTCATCCTCCGACGGCTCCTCGTCCATCTGGTTGTCGCCTGACGACTCCGGAGGCGGCGTCCCTTCCATGAACCAGATATAATCGAGGTCTGGGCTCGACGCCGGACTCATGAAAGACGAGCGGGATGATTCTGATGTTGACCTATCATCGGGCGCCAGACTGCTGGCCGAACTGTCATCCTTGATGTCGCTCAACATGGTTGCTGAGTGTGTGCCAGTGTGTAGCGCGGCCTGCCGGGGACGATGAAAATGGTGGACACTTAAGCGGGGTATGCAGAGAAGAGGAACTGCCAATTGAAGCGTGGGTTTTTTTTGCACGCGGGGGGGAGGGGGGATTGATGCGGGGGTTGACGTATTATCTAAGCGCTGATATAATCAACCGCAATTATTTGTATCCAGTCTCTCCAAATTCACGGGGTTGTGCAGGACTCCTATTGGCTATTTGGCTGGTTTCCTTTTTCAGGACAAAAACAAGGAATGAGTTTTGGGATTGTGCACCGGTACGAACGGAGTAGGACAGTTGGCAAGCAATACATTGAGCTCTTCTTATTGATAAAGCTAGTAATAATCAAACTAGAAAGGAAAAGAAAAAAGACAAAGAAAAATATCTACATGAATCTTCGCGTAACATCAATGGCATAGGACCTAGATGTGCAGTACTTAGAGCACATCTAGATGTGCTTTAGCAATACTATCAAACAAAACCCCTAATCATCACTGCAAACAGCGCATAGAACATGGCTAATGCGACAACCACAACTACACATGCTAGTTCCTTCTTGTCTCTTGCTTTCATCTGTTGCCTGTGATTGATTCTTTCTTGCTTCATCATACTGATTGTACATTCCAGACCAGCCAGTTTCTTCTTCAGCTTTACGTTATCTTTTGCGAGGTTGGTGATAACACTCTGAGCCCTGCCATGCCATTCTTCATCCATCCAGTTAACAAAGGCACAAGCCTCATATCCCTGCCAATGTTAAATAGTATTCAGGATGAGTGGTGGCATTAACTCGAGTAAAATGATGAAGTTAGCACTAAGCTCTAAGGGGAAACTAAGAAACCACCTACCAGTGTTGAATCCCTCCGTGCATACATGTCGAGCGGGAGTGTGCCCGTGCACATAACTCAGCTTTTGGTACTTCTCGGTGGCGCAAAACTCGGAGTCAAACTCGTGTTGCGGGAGTCTGGAGTCATGCTCGGGATCCAGCGGT